AATCCTAGTTAACTAATTAGTTATTACAACACAAATTGAATAGCTAAGTACATTAACTACTTAAGTACAGAACCAAATAGCTAACTAAGAAAAGGGGCTAAGTAAAGCAGTAAGAAGAGGTCCTCAGGGTGAAGAAGTGCATGCATGCTCGGTCGCCTCGTTCGAAAATGCATTACGATGCCCCAACTTGCCTCTGTTTGCATTTGTTTTCAGAACACTGCACAAACCTCCACATAGCTTCTACTCCATCATGGAGACCTCCAGGAAGGCTGCCGACCACTTATTAGTATTGTAGACCACCTGTAGACCACTTACATTTGTTGCAGACCAGAAAAAGTAGTCGGCCAGCCACTTTTACTGGCCGGCCGACCAGAAAATGCTGCCCAATTCTAGTTTGCTGCAACAGAGAACAAGAAGGGGCACGACAGTGTATTTGCAAGATGTGTGTGCACAATCACCCTCCCTATCATTTCTTAAGCTCAAGGGAGTGCGGTTCTCGACTCTCTGGCCACCAACGGAGCATTGCAATGCACGGTGGCCGAGAAGCCAAGTTTGCACAATTCAACGTCAATGAATGCACAAGTAACAAATAAGAGCCTTAAACTCTATCATGCATGATCAAGAGCGTTGGTGACCAGGAAATGAGGCACGTTTCATCACTTCAAGTATGAAACGTCCCGCGTTTCTCGTGTTTGGACTAACATCCAACCCAAACACATGCAATGCAACATGATCAACTTATCAAAGCTAATGGCATGCAAACTCAATGCAATGCATGCAAACATAATGCAATGCAACAAGCATGCAAACACAATGCAAATAACGACATTCAAACAACATGCTTAGTGGACTTAAACCAAATATGTACAGACCTCAATCATGTCCAAAACAGTGGCCAAAATGTGCTGAAATGCTAGTACTGAAAGCAAGAAAATGCATGCTCATACATTGGCCCATCAATTAGGCATAAGAGCACAATTCTCAAACATGATGAAAATGTGATAAATATGGAAGTATGACAACACTATATGCTCTGAAATCAAGTATTAAATGATGCCAAATCATCCAAGCAACACAAGCATAGCATGCTAGAAGGCTCAAAACTTGAAACTAGCATAGGCACTTGCACTATAGCTATGCAATACATGAAGCATATGGCCAAGAATACCCAAAACAGTCCTAGAGCATGTCAAATCAAGGATAAAACATGCACGAAGTGTAGCCAAAACAGGATAGCATGAAGGGCATGAAGCATGGAGTATGCAAGGTTAATAAGGAGGATTACACTACACCTACCAAAACTAAGCATGAGATGACTTCACCAACAAAAATCAGAGTTGTATCATGGCAAAACAAGACCAAAAACACATTGATATGGCAGCCCAAAAGCCTAGGCAAGATGGCATACACAATGGCTCATTTTTAAAGCATAAAGAACCAACCCTCCAAAGCATTGAATGAGTGAAAGATGTGAGGGCATGGCAATGAAACATGCACTGAAATCACATACCAAATGATGCCAAATCATGCAAATAACCCAAGCAATGCATGCTAGTGACTTGGAAACTCAAAGTTAGTGAGCTAGAATGCACTACGGCTATACAAAGTAAGGCATGCATGATCAAAACAACATAAATCAGACCTAGAGCATGGAAAAACATGAAGGAAAGCTTCCTGGAATAGAGCCAAAAGCATGCTAGAATGATGGTCAAAAGCATGATGCATGTTAGGCTAGTGAATGGAAATGCACTACAAGTGTAAGGAGCATGCATGTAAGGCCCCGGTGTCCCACGTCGGGAATAGAGGGGGAGTTCCTAGGCTATAAAAGTAAAAACCTAGACCCTTATATAGCATCGAGGCCTTTTCCCTAGTGGTGAAATCCCTATTAGAACTCCCCAGTTAAGCGTGCTTAGGTTGGAGTAGTTCTGGGATGGGTGACCCACTGGGAAGAACAAATCCTTGCGGGCGTGGCTCAAAGCGGATAGTATCGATGACATGTGAAGGGTTGGGGCGTTACAAATGGTATCAGAGCCGACTCTCCGAAGTACAGAGTGTGGGCCCCTGGCGTCTCTCGATGTATGTGGGTAGGTTTGCGAGTTGGCAGGCTACTGCACGGGGACGTGCAGCCTTAAGAGGGGTGGATTGTAAGGCCTCGGTGTCCCACATCGGGAATGGAGGGGGAGTTCCTGGGCTATAAAAGTAAAAATCTAGACCCTTATATAGCAACAAGGCCTTTTCCCTAGTGGTGATATCCCTATTAGAACTCCCCAGTTAAGCGTGCTTAGGTTGGAGTAGTTCTGGGATGGGTGACCCACTTGGAAAAACAAATCCGTGCGGGCGTGGCTCAAAACGGACAATATCAATGACATGTGAAGGGTTGGGGCGTTACAATGCAAAAGGCTATCAAACCAAACCAAAACAGAGCTAAGGCATGGTAAAACAACACCAAAAACATGCTTAGATAGAGCCAAAACATGCTAGAAAGGTGAGCTATCAACATGAGCATGTAAGGCTAGTTTGCAAGGATTACACTACAAGTGTATAGAGCATGCAAGAGTGGCCTAAACTAAGCCAAAACAGAGGTATGCCATACTAAAATAAGGCCAAAAATAGGCTGAGATGGAGCCAACATATGCTAGATAAACATGCTCAAACATGAGGCCAACAAAGCAAGCAACCAAAATACAAGGAGAGGGGATGACCCCCTCCTATTTGGAACCTCAAAACACACTTTCCACCACTAAAATTCCTCTGAGTTTCAGTGGTGAGAAGGCCAAAAAGAGGTGGTCCCAATAGCTTAAAAGGACAGCTCAAAACAATGCCAAACAAGGCACAAAAGGGGGGTAGACCACCCCCAACACCAAAGAGACCTTAAACAAACATGTTAAGCACTTGAAATCAGAACTTTTTGTAGATGAGAGTTAAGCCAAAGAAAGCATGCAAATAAGGCTAAGAGCTTAAAAAAAAACCAAGCTTCAAGGGGTTAGAAACTCACCCTTGTAGAACAACTTCAAAGCTGCAACTCCAGCAACTTTTTTGGACCAAAAGAAATTCAAAAACTCCAAAACCAGCTTCAAGGTGCCTCAGCAACAAGAGTATGGTGTTTCGCTATGTGTTTGTGTGCAAAAGTGTGAAGAAAAGGCACTTTTAAGCACAAATATGAGACAAAGGGAGAAATATAGAGATAGAAGTGTATGTATAGCTCAATGCAATTTTTCTAAACCTGAGACAAGAGGGAGGAGGCTCCCTTTTATAGAAAACCAAGCATCAAGCTTGTTGAACAAGTTTGAAGCTTGAATCAATCCCTCCGTAAACGTGTATGGAGGATGCTTTCTATGCCCAACAGCTGGCACAGCTGGCATGGAAAATATCTGCAGAAAGTGCAGGAAAGCTGCCGACTAGTTGAAGTGGTCAGCCAGCTACTTGCACTGGTCGGCCAGCTACTTTTTCTAGTCTGCCGGAAGAGAAAGTGGTCGGTAAGAGGGGGAAGAGGGTCTACACATAGATAGGAAGGTAGTGGCATGGCTGCAGACCACTTTTCAGACCACCTAAGTGGTCAGTAGGATACTTTTCTGGTCGGCAGCCCACTTTTCTGGTCGGCAGGCAAAATTCTACTTTCCAGGTCCAACTTCAAATGGCCATAACGCCTTAATATGGACTCCTTTTTAGGTCATTCTTGTGTCCAAATTGAAGCCCCGAAAGTAAGCTTTCCAATGGTGGTAGCCTTGCATCAAAATTCCAACTGTGAAAAGAGTTATGCCTATTTTGGTGAAGCCGCTTAGTTTTGGTCCTACCCGAATTCATGCCGAACTTCTCTCAAACTAGTTTTCTTCTCTACTTTCCTCTTTTTTTCAACTCCAAACCGGTGTTTGAAATATTTTTCAAAGATTTCATCTCTCTTTCATTCATTTCCACTTTGTCCTGGCTCAGTTTACCGAACAGCGCAACATTTAACGAAATGCGAGCCTCGGAACATCGTTGGAACTTTATTTCCAAAACATTTTGAAAGAGAGGGTTTCAAGGTCTAAAATCTTTTGATCAAGATTGTTTTGGTCCAAAAGGGGGTATGAAGTTGGGATTTGACTCTCTCTTTGCCGAAGGAATTAAACCTTTGCCCTGCACAACTTTCACCACCAAGTAAAGCATTAGTAGTGCCCAAGTCTTAAGGGAGGTAAAAAATGGGGTGTCTACAGGTTCTTTACTAATTTTCTTTATAGGAATACCTATGCAAAAGGGAATGGGAAAAATAAAAGACCAAATGACTAGTATTTGGGACTGCAAAACCAAAAGTTAGGACTACTAACATTTTTGTTGAACAAGAATACTTGAGTGTGGAAAGGAATTTGTTGGACTAAATAGAATCCTTATGGATTGGTTATTTCTTTTACATATAATAGAAGCAATTTTTTGCTTGGACTATAGTTGTCGTTTTTACCAATATGTAAAAGCGATTTTTATTTGCTTGTAATGGTTGTAGCAATTGTTTTTAAATTGCCTGTAATTTGGTTAGTCATTTTTTAAATTGCATGCAAATTTGGAACTTGGTTTGTTTTTAACCTAGTTTATCACCTGGAAAACTTAATTCTCAAAATTGTTTCCCCTGGACTAGAAGTCAACATGCTCTTGAACGTTTTTCTTAAGGTTAACTGGGTTTTAAGTAGGACCAGTGTAACCCCTCTAGTCTTCCTGGAAACATTCCTGACCATGTTCGAATCTAGGTTAAGTGGTGAGACTGGTTTTGAATTAAATTTTCAACTCCAGGATTTTCTAGTGTGAAGTTTGATTTTTGGAAACACATAATGATGAAATTTTGTTGTATTTTTTAGAAATGGCAATTGTTACCGATGTTGTTGTTGTTGCTGCTAATGTTAGTAGGGAACAGAACCCCAAGGCAACTGGCTTGCCAACCCCTGCTGATGTGACTTCTGTGGTCAACCCTGTTACTGCTCTTCCTATTCCGGGGAGGACCGCGCAACCATCATGAGCACACGGAGAAGTTCATGGGAGTGAATTTCAAGAGGTGGCAGCAGAAGATGTTGTTCTACCTAACTATTCTAAGCCTTTTGAGGTTTTTGAGTGAAGATCCACCAACCGTGGAAGAGAATGAACAAGACAAGAAGAAGTTCATGGCTCTAGATGCTTGGAAGCAGTCAAATTTCTTTTGCCAGAACTATGTTCTGAATGGCTTGGCAAATTCACTTTTCAATATGTTTGATGCCAAGAAGTCGGCAAGGGAGCTGTGGGATTCTTTGGAGAAGAAGTACAAAACCAAGGATGTTAGGTTAAAGAAATTTGTCGTTGGCTGATTTCTGGACTTCGAAATGGTGGACTAAAAAATTGTCATTAGTCAAGTCCAAGAGTTCCAAGTAATTCTGCACGAGATTCATGAAGAGGTAATGTTCTTGAGTGAATCATTCCAAGCAGTTGCTCTGATTAAGAAACTGCCTAATAGTTAGAAAGACTTCAAAAACTACTTAACGCACAAGCGAAAGGAGATGACAGTCGAAGAGCTCATTATCAAGATCCGTATTGAGGAAGACAATAGGAAGAAAGGGGGGGAGTACCTCTACTGTGAAAGCAAATGTGGTTGAGCATGGCCAATCCTCAAGGGTGAAGAAAAAGCCACTGACAAGCAAAAGCTCAAAGTTGGAGACTAGAGATGGAGTCTCCAAAAGGCCGATCTACAAGCCACAGGAACCTACTTATAGGTTCAATGAAAAGTGCTTCAACTATGGAAGCAATGGGCATTGGGCAGTTGATTTCCGCAAAAAGAAGAAACCCTACAAGAAGAACCCTCCACAAAACAAAAGTCGAGCTCACATAGATGAGATGGAGGATTTGTCTCAAGATGTAGACGGCATGCATCTGTCAGCTGTCGTCTCAGAAGTGAACATGGTGGGGTCTAACCTGAATGAATGGTGGGTGGACACTGAGGCTACTCGCCATATCTATGCTAAGAAGAAAATGTTCACAAATTTCGAACCGGTTTCAAATAGAGAGAAGTTGTTCATGGGGAATTCTATGACCTCAACTATTAAGGTTAAAGGCAAGGCGATTCTGAAGATGACTTCAGGAAAAGAGTTGACTCTGAACGATGTCCTCTGTACCGGACATTCGTAAGAATCTTGTCTCGGAGTTGCTCTTAAATAAACATGGCTTTCGCATGGTGTTTGAAGCTGATAAGGTCATGTTGACCAAGAACAGGGTCTATGTGGGAAAGGGGTTTATGTCGAGCGGTATGTTTAAGCTCAATGTAATGACTCTTATCCCTAAAATTAATGAGAAAACTTCTTCTTCTACTACTTATATGCTTGAGTCCCCGAATTTATGAATGGTAGATTGGGTCATGTAAACTTCCTCTTCTTCTACTTATATGCTTGAGTCCCCTAATTGTTTGGTCTTCAAGAAACACAACATCATGGCTTCGAATAACTTTCTTGTTGACCGGATCCCACAATCTATAACCAAATTCATCACACTCATAGCCAAGAAAAATGCATTGTCTTGACTTACTATCAAGCTTAATCATCTCATCCTTTGGAATGCGAACAAAGACTCGGCGACCAAACACTCTTAAGTGCTCATAAGATACATCTTTGCTGGTCTAAACTCTATCGGGAGCATCATCATTCAAAGGATAGGAAGGAGACAAATTGATCACGTCAACTGTTGTCCTCATGCCTCACCCTAAAAGGATCTTAGCAATTTAGCATGTGAAAACAAACACCTTGTTCTTTCCACGGTGGTGCGATTCATCCTCTTAGTAACACTATTTTGTTTAGGAGTCTTTTTAATTGTATTTTGGTGCCGAATACCTTGATTGTGGCAATACTAATCAAATGGCTGAAACAAAAAAGTTTTATTAGCCGCTGGCTCCTCCCGCAAAACAAAAACAATATTCAAAAATATTGTTGAGTTTTGAGCTTTTTATCAAAACTCTAACTGTTACCAAACAGATATTTAAATACCCACTGGGTCTTCAAAAATTAGATATGATATATAAAAAAATATGTTATAACCAACACTAAACCAAATTAAATATTTTTAATAAACTAATTGAGTCTCATACTCCACTAACAAAGTATACCCAACAACACTAATAAATGTGTAGGACTTGTTTTGTTTGTATCTAAAGATACAATTTTTGAGAAATTTTTTAAAAATTTTGTTTGGTTCAAATTTTTGAATTTTTTTTCTAAAATCGCTTTCTCTCTCCTATACATCAATCAATCATTTTTTTCTCTCTCTCCTCTCTCCTCTCTTATTCTCAATCAATTTTTCTATCACACACATCTATTCAACTACAACAAAATATTAAATCATCCCAAATTTCTAAACTCCAAAACGAATTTCAAAATATACAACCGAACAAACCAAAAAAATTTCTAAACTTTCTCCCCAAATTTTTTATTTTGAAAATTTATCTCGAAACACAAACCAAACACACTCATACTCTTTCTTTATGTTCCTTTGTTATACTCTAATTGGTTCATTTTCAGGTTTGTGATTCATTTAAGATCAATACTCTCTTAAGATCAGTGTCTGTGGTTCATGTTCAGGTATCCTTCGTTGGCTGAAAAACTTTTCTTGAGGCTGTTATTCCTAAGAGGAATATTTGCTCTACTGCTAGTCCGTCCGATCTGCGGATGTTGTTTTGATTGTGGAAGGCTCTGGGTGTTGATAATCTCATGGATCATGGAATAGAGATGTAACTAACTGCTATGCTTTCATTGCTGGTTTTAGTGAGCAACCCGACTGTGCGTTACATGTGCTCTATAGGCCGCACTCCTCTTCCCAACAAGCCCTTTTTTCTTTTGATTTAGAAGCCTTAATTAAAAACTAAAAGTTAGTAGAGTTGCAACAAGATGCACAAGTTGGAGGACTTTTTCAATCATTCACTACAAGAAAAAGCATTTTTGCCGACCACTTTTAGCTACCAAAACTAATTTAGTCGCCAAAAGTCATGGAATTGGCTACCAAAAATTATATTAGTCGGCAAAAGTCAACTTTTTAGCTACTAATTTTCTTTAGTAGGGGAATGTTGATTATTGGCTACTAAAAAAAATTTAGTAGCTAAAGATATTACAATTGGCGACTAAAACAATTTTTAGTAGCTAAACATATGACAATTGGCGACTAAATAAAAATTTAGTAGCCGTAGAGGTACCTTTAGCTACTAAATTATTTGGTAGCCGAATGAAAATAAAAAAATTAACAAAATAGTTATTTTATTTTATTAATAACAATACCATTAGTCTCCACTTGAAAATTTGACTAAACAAAATAGTTATTTTTATTTTTATTTTTATTTTTAGGTTGTACACCCACCATCCAAAATTATTAATATCTTATTTTATTTTTTATTATCTCAAAATATTAATTTGTATACTTATTTGCTATTTCATAAGTATACCTTTGATTATAATTTCTGGGGGACTAGATATCATGGAAACTCCTATTGAATGGCCTAAACTCCTACACTTCATTGAATTTAGGGCGAAGGCCAAGAAACAACTTAAAGCCATCATGAATGGCCTAAAAAATATTCAAAAAACAGACCAAACTGATTCTAATCTAAAGGTACTACGTTCTTCCAGAAAGCAAATGTTGGACTTGTGTTAACTACAGTTGGATTTGTGCTATTAATTTCAGGACGAAGGTTGTCTGGAGAACACAAATGAAGAGCTTTTGATCAAGGTTCATGGGAGTGCATACTTTGGAGCAATAAATCGTGTAACCAGAACTGACAAGCATGATGAGTCGGCTAATGCTTGAGAATCTAGATAATCGACAGTGATGAAGCATCTTAAAGCAGAATCTGCATTGTCTGGGTAATCTCCCCAGTTCTTGTTTTGTATTAGGCAATGCTTAAAATACTAAAGGAGTATTTGCATTTTAATCCAGAAGTTGGTGCTTAGAGATTCTGCAATTAGAAAAGGAGGTTAGGAAAATCAGCACCCAAAAAAAAAAAATTTATTTTATGTTGTATGAATAGCTGCATCTTTTTTTTCTTTTTTCTTTCAAGAGTGTATTGTTTAAAAGAAGCATTTGCCTAAGGAATTCAAGATTATACTGTAATGTATCCACTTGCCTAAGGAGCTTGCAACATGGCCGTTTGGATAGTTCATCCACTTGCCCTGTTATGATGTTTTGAAAATGTTAAACTTAGGCACTTTTGGATTATAAAAGCATGTTTTCTGGGATGCAGTGGGGTGTCTTTTGGATTCATATTTTATTCTTTACCTCTGCTCTTTTCATTTTTTTTTTCCCTAATGGAAAATGGTATGCAAACAAAATTGAAAATTTTAAAATGTAGGCACTTTTGGATTTTGAAAGCATGTTATTGACGTATCCGAGTGAATCAAATCTATAAGAAAAGAAAAGAAATAGAAAAAAGCTTTTGATTAGTGCTTTACATGGAACCTTTACTAACATTTTATCACAACGGTATTCTGTTTCACATTTCAGTCTTTTAGTAATGTGGCTTGTGATTTGATTGTGGTAATTTGTGGTAATTGATGGGGAAGTATTTAAAGGAGAAAAAAAAATGATTAGATGGTTAAGAACTTATCATGATTTGAGAAGTATATAAATTACCCGTGATAAATTATGGATGTATTGTTTACCTGCTTGCACGTGGTTGTTATTTTCATTGAGACAAGTTGCATGATATTGGGTATGCACTTGATATGAACTGTAACAAAAATCAATTAAAAGGTTTAGAAGAGAGATTGTACTGATGGTATGGTATTGGTGATTTGTTGTTAGTTTTACAAGTTATTGTTGTCATTTCTGGGTGAAAATACTATGATTTGGCAAAATAAAATGGAGAGTTACTTGTTTGGTTTTGTATATTTGTTTGATTAGTACAGAATATGCCAAGTTAGCATTCAGATACTTATAAGCTAAAAAAGCATTCAGTCTTCTATAAGTTGGCATTAATAAAGGCTTTTTTGAGTTGCCTTTTGCTCAGTCTTACTGCCATTCAAATTTAGAAAAAAAATAAATCTCAATATGACTTCTCTTCCTGAAATGAAAATTTTGCAATTCTTAAAACATGGTCGGTGCAAATTTTGTTGCTTGTGCTGGTGTACAACACCATGCAAGGTTTTGTGGGTGTTTAGGGGGCTGCTAAACACTATTATTTCAGAATCCCCTTAGGGGCTAGCCACACGAAGTTTATGGAATGTTAAGTTTTTTTTTCCCCATATGGAAACTTTTCTAACTAAAGTTGCAGTCTATTGATTTGTTCCTGGGATGCATCATTTCAGAGGAAGACCTGCACCAAGTATAAGTAAGAGTGTGGGTGTCCTTGATCTCTCAACTCATTAAATGCGTACTCTATAAGTTGATTTTTGTTTTTTGTTTTTTGATTTCTTCTTCTGATGAATCTGTAAAATTTCCTGGAAGTGGCAACTGATGAATCTGATGAATCTGTTGATTTTTATCTTTTGCTGTCTCAAATATACAATGAACAAATCGGAGATCTTGTATTAATTAAGGTAGCAAATAACAAGGCATTCAAGTTTTGTTCTTTTTTGCATGAGCATGTTTCTTGTTGTTTATTGAATTAGTGCTACAGATTGCTACTTGTTGATACTTCATGGATTTTCTTTTATGCTTGTTAACTTTTATTTCTGGCTCAGGGGCTTTCAAGTAGGAAGGTCGGAGCAACAAGCATACATTCAAAAAGTTCACAATCCCATATTGTGTTTACATGCGTCATCGAGTCCTGGTGCAAGGTATAATTGAAAATTGGAGTTTGCAATTGCTATCAATTACTATTTGAAATTATCTAACATTTAATATTTTTAGGTTGCGTTTGACTCTATGTATAATAATATATACTGCTGGGATATGTAACCTTCAATTTTTTTGTTAAACAAAATCTTCTTAGTTGCATCATTTTACCCATCATCCACATAATGGCTAGATTTAATTTAGTTGGTACTGAACATGTGTATTTGTTTTCAGTTAACTATGCCAGGAAATTGAAACTAATTTCATCAGCAGGGAGATTTGTTATCATCAATTTAATTATCATTCTATTTAAGTTGTTTAATTATGTATACTTATTTGCTATTTCATAAGTATACCTTTCATTATAATTTCTGGGGGAC